GAGGGAACTCATCTTCTTCGTATTGATTCCCCCTCCTCATGACTTGTCTCCTCGTCCTTAGCCCTAGGTCCCTCTCACGGTTTCCTTGGCCGCCTCAGGTCCTGTGGGTTCCCTGTCTGGTACTACGGCCTGGATCCCGCCTTTGGGTTTCCTGCTTCTTTCTTCCTTCTGATGTGCTGCTGCTCAGTCACCATTCGTGTCTTGTGCCTGGTGTGGTGTTGGATCTGTCTCCTTCTCCCCGCCCAATCTTCTCGTCCCAGCTTCCTTTGCCTCCTTTGCGTCTCGTTTCCCCAAATTTTCTGCTCCTTGAAGGTTGTCTAGTCCCTCCGGAAGTTTCGGCTTGAACGTGACTTCCTACGTCTCCTGAGCTCCCCTCCGTGGTGCTTCTTCGTTGTCCTGTCTGGATGATCTAGTGCCTGCCTGGCCGTGTCTTTCTTTTGTCGTTTGGCTTGCCTGCTCCTGGGCAGCCCCCTGTTTCCTGTTCTAGCCTGCCTTATTCGCCTTCCCTCAGGATCTCTTCCGGGCTCCCTTAACTCTTAACCCTCTCGTGCTCAAACTTCAGCCTCCCCTTCAGTTTCGGGTTTAACCCCCTCTATTTTTTTGGTTCCCCTGTCGTGCTTGGGATCTGATTCTTCCTGCCTGTTTTTCTAGTCCTCCTCCTTTCCTTGTCTCCGGTTCGACTGATCCTTCTTCCACTGATTGAAGTCTCCCTACTCACGGCCTGTGTGCAGAATTCGGCCTTCTCTAAGGCGCCGGTGCCGCCCTAGGGCTACGGTTGAGTTGCTTCTGGACTGATTTCTTAACCTCCCTGTCTTCCTTGGTAGTTCCCTTTGATTTGTTGTACGTTGGCTCGCCAGATGGAGGGGACCTCCGCTTCTGGGGAGTCTTTGCTACATCGGGTTGTGGGTGATTCCTGAATTTTCCTCCTTACTCGGGCGGTCCTGTCCTACTTGCCTGTCTCGTAGACCCCCACTTGAGACTTCAGACGTTCCGGCCCCTGTCCGTTACCTTTTGGCCCGTTGGTGTTATCTCTCTCCTCGTTTATTTGTTTCCTACGAACGGAGTGCTGACGCTTATTTTACTCTGCTGTTGTTTCCTTTTCCTTTGCGGACTTGTGGTTTTTTTTCATTGACTTGCCCTTACTGGTTCTCCCCCTTCGATCCCTCACAGTGGGCAGTGGCCGCTTGGCGTCTCGCTTTGTTGGTTGACTAGTGTTATTCCCCCTAGGCTACTTTCATCATTCCTCTCATCCTCCTGAACCTCTCTTCTTTTGCGGAGCTCCTTCCTCCGAAGACCCTCACTCCCTCCCCCTCCAGTGGGCGGCTTCTTAGACTTTATTTTTTCCCCCCCGCCCGTTCATCAGATCTACTCCAGGGGGAGGATGTTCCGCAGGCTCTTTCCTTCTCCGGCTGCTTTGACTTTCGGCCGGCGGATCCCTTCTCGCTCGTTCGTTACTGAGCCTTCCCTCCTGACATACTCGCTGTCCCGTCTCGATTATTGGTTCCGGCTGATTCAGTCTTAGGTTTATTCGGAGATAATTTCTTGGGCTTCTTGTGAGGTATCTTGTTTTTTGTTCCTATGCCATTACATCCTCGCCCCAGGACTTGTCCTCTCCTCCTGTCGGCGGCCCCTTTGCCAAGGTTGTCCTTGTTTGGCCCTGGAGGATTATGCCTTTCCTACCCTCTATTTCCCGAGTTTTTCCTGTCTCACTCTCCGCTCCAGACTCCTCCTCCTCTTTCCTGTTTCCTGGGGGTTGCCGACCTATGAGGTTCTCCTTGGTTGTTCCTTCTCCTTCTGGCTTGCTGCCCTGTGGCGTCCTTATAGGTTTTCCTCTCTAGCTCCTTTAGAATTTCCTCTTCCGTATTTATTTAGTTCTCGCCTGCTGATGTTCCTTTGTGCTTGCGACTTTCTGGACGTCTTGGGGACTCATGAGCGACTTGGGGGAATTCTCCTTGTTGCTCTTTGTTCCTCCTTCTGTAATTGCCACGTTTTCCGCCTCACTCGTTTTTTTCTGTCATCCTTGTGGGTTCAGTTTCCCTGATTTCCGACTCCCTGTACCTCTGGGTGTTCCGTTGCCGGGTTGCCTGTTGCCCTAATGAATCTCCTCTTCTCTACGGGTCTTACTACTCCTTCCCTTTCTTTCTCCTTGCTGCTCTGGAGTGTCGGGGATTTGGTGCAAGTAGGTTTTCCGATGATTCTCATTCCTCTCGGTTCCTTCGGCCCGTGGGCCATAACCTTGTCTTCTCTTCTCCGGGGGCGCCTTGCCGGCTGCTTCCTTTCGGCTACCTTGCCTTCGGGTTCCTGATCATATCCTTTTATATTCTGAATTACTGTTGCGGAAGTCCGGCTTCAGCTGTTCGTGAGATTTGAGGGGGGCTGCTTGCTGTGTTTACGTTTTCTCCTTCGTCTCGCAGCTTTGGTATTGTTTTTTGACGTTTGTGACTTTTTGCTGCATTTCTTGCTCTTTCCCTCGTTTTTCGTTTATCCCTTTGAGATATCTTGCCCGTTCACCTCCTCAATTTCTTGGAGTATTCGGGAAGTTTCAATGTGTTCCCCTCTGGAGTTTCACCTCCGCTAGTTCCTTGGTGGGGTGGTATATTTATTGGGGCCAGTTAGAGTTAGGGGGGATTGGCCTCTCTTTCCATGATGGCTCGGGGCCGCTAGTCCTTCGTTCTCATCCTCTTATCTAGCTTTTCTTAAGGTGATTTGGGATTCTGCAGAGTTGGATCTGCTCTTGTTTTTGGGACTGTTATGCTTTTTCGGTTTTGGGGAGGTAGGGGTTTGAGTTTAATCCCCGTTTTCCAGTTTCTCGATTTGTATGGCTAGTGGATTCCTGTTGGTTTGCTTCGGTTTATCTGCTGGATTATTGCTGGTCTCGGCGGGGTTTCCTGCTTGGGCATCGTTCGACTTGGGGGTTTTGAGAGAGTTGTATCTTTCTCAGGAATGCTATAGGGTCCTGTGCTTAGGTCTGAACCTTCTTCTTGGTCGCCTTAGCTGCTTTGACTCTTTCCTTGCAGATAGATTTCCTCTTGGTCCTGTGGCGTTTTCTTGCCTTTGGGGGATGATCCGCGATGACTGGCCTCTCGGGGAGGGGGGTTCGTCTGGGAGGTGAACCTATCGGAGGTGTTGGGGTACCCGAAAAGCTAATGGTTTTTGGGAGGGTCTCTTGGGGCAGTGGTTTCCTTCACTTCGCTGGACCCTTTTCCTCCACTTCTGGCTTTGCGTGTTGGCCTTCCCTTAGATGGAGGGGTGTGTCTGGTTAGATTTTTGGCTTGTTTTGGGGGGGCCTTTTCACTCTTAGGTACTATTTTCCGATTCTTGCCTTGCTTTTTTTTTTTTTCCGTTCGGGATCTGGGATCTAATGTCTCGGTACGGAGCTCATTTAAAATTATCAGACTGTCGGTAGTCTCCATTTTAGGAGGTTACTCCCGTTTGGCTTGTTATCGTTTTGGGGATCTTGTCTATGTAGAGTTCATGTGTCTAGATGTACGTTCTCGGGGTTCATGGCTCTTATCTCATATGCTTCGTCATCCTAGTGTTCTTTGAAATTTGGCCTTTACTACATAATCTTAGTTTTACGGATTCTTGCTTCTTTTGGTTATTCATAGGACCCACTCTCATCCTTTTTTGTAGAATGCGTGCTGAGGTTAGCGGGGGGGG